AATATTTTTTATCATTGCTGCTTTACAGATGAAACGAACAAATTTATTCTGCCCTACATTGTGCAAGAACATAATCACTTAGTTTTGCAGAATGCAGAACATTCTTACATTCGATCTTTTCGTTATATTTGTTATCCTCGTATCATGTTAATAAACTTTATTACATGTTTTTCAGCAGAAATAAAATAAACAATAGAAACATACTCTGACATTCATTAACTGAATAAAACAAGTTTAAGATATTAATTATTCGAAATATGATGCAACAAGAATGAATAAATAATATAATTACAAATTTGACTTGATGACAAAAGTATTCGTCATTGAGTAAATGTCAATCCAGGTGAGCAAAATAATCTTTCTATCAAAACACTAGTCGTTGATATGGTATCTTCTATTCTGGTTACTATTGATACTAATGGGATATCGCAACAAGTTTCAGTAGTAGACCAGAACTTTATGGACATACGCATTTCAATTCTTTTCACTTGTTAAACCAGTCGAAATTTTTTGAATTTTTTTAGTTTAGTTATGAGTCATTCTCATTTAAAATACTTGTCTTAATGTACGCTCATTCGTTTTACTTGAGTTATGAACTGAATGAAAAAGCTCGACTTAATCATTTCGTTACTTTATGGAGACCACTAAAATTTCAACATATACATAAATTTATTTAATATAACTTCATTGTAAAAAAAAAAAACTTTCAAACCGTTTAAGTGCTAAATCTAATCAATTTAGACAACTAATCGAACGTCAACCTGAATCAATGTCTAAATTCTCAAGTGATGTCTCAATAAGTGAAAACTAAAATTAAAACTTATACATTCCAGTTTTTGATTTTTTTTGTTAAATTTACTTTATCAAGTAAACATCGATCAACCGAAAATCACTTTAGCTAACTGATAAAGTGCATCGATTTTATCAGTTCGATGATGATGAGTACTATTCGATGATATTGAGATCAATGATAGTGAAGACATTTAATCAATAACATAAGATTTTGAACTATGACTACTAGTATTTGTATTTTCATTAATAATACGAAATGCAAGTTGACATGTTTGCCCGTTAATTGAACAAAGTATTCCAAATTGTTCAGTTTCTTTCATAAGAATAATTTTATTTAAATAACAGGGATTGAGTCAGTACAGCTCGTTAAGGACTAAAATATAATACTTACATGTGTTCTTTAGTCTCATTATACTCATATAAAATACCTGAAGTGAAAAATTCCTACTAGACTATAAGGAATGCATGAGAAATTAATTTTGGATGAGTTTCCTTCATCATTCACTGAAAAAGGTGTGAGGGTAGGTCTTGGTCTAGAAAAAACTATTCCAGAATTGAATCTTATCACATCTAAAAATTTCTTTAATATTCTTGTTTTTTATTTATACGCTTAAAGTCATAGAATATTTAACTATAACCTTTAATTGCAATTGGGACAACTGATTTTCTACTAGTTCCCGGTAGAGCTCGCTGGGTACGGGTCTGATCTGTTCTAGTTGCTACTCTTAAGATAAGTATGAATAGGAATCCGACAAACTTTTAAATTTTTGTCGCACATATCTCTAAAACTTACACTCACTTTACTTTTCTTCGAAAACAAAAACCATAATGTCAGTTTCACAAAAAACAAGAACAGTCAATAATTTTACCGTCAATTGTTAATGATAATAGATTAATATCAAATGAACTTTGAATATTCCTTAATTGAATAAGTGCAATATGTTTTCATACTGAGTGTTTTTCACATATATTTAAGACAACCGAAGAAAAGAAACAGTTAAATGTGTTCGTGTTGTTGTTAATTTTTGTGAAAGTTCCATAACTTTAAATTTGTCTATGTAATCATGATGTTCAGCAAGGAACTCTGAATGAAATTTAACAACAATAACAACAACAACAAAACGTACTTCATACTGTAGGCATCATTTTCTTACTCGACAATTATCAATACTATTAATCCAATTAATCAATTAATAATTGATAATCAATATATGCTGTTGATGTATATTTAAGGAAACGTTGAATAGGTCGTATCATAAACTACAGCTAAATGCTGTTTATTTAAATCAGTTGTGTGTTCGCGAATCTATTCCAAATAGTTATCTTTCATATTATCTATGCAATGAAATAAAATTACCTTAGCATAAGCATAAAAACGAGCATCCATTTTCTTGTCTATTGTATGAATCGCTTCCATCTATTAGAAAAAAAAATAAAAGTTATATAAAAAACAATATTCCAATTGATTAAAAAATAGTTCATTCGAAAATAAAAGTAATGTTGTGTATAGATGAATTAATATAATGCAAGGAAATTAAACTAGTTCATCACTGTTGCAATTAAAATCCAATAATAGTGTCCAACAGTTTAGTACAAGAAGAATTCCATAATTACCTATGAAAACTGAAATACGTCAAAGGCATCAAATTTCGTTAAGCTCGATAATTTCTTTTTACGGTTTTATTTGACTCATAAACAAGAAAAAAACTTATGTATTCTTTTCGAAAACTATTGTTTGATGGTCGAGAAAATCGATTATTTTTCGATCCGATGACACAACATGAATGCAAGTTCGTATTGAGATTCTGCTATCACATCGAACAACCAAACAATATTTTCTCAAAACCATACATAGATTTTCTTCCGAAGTATATGATGAGTAAAGTCGTAGAAAAATATATAGCTTATTAGGATTTGATTATTTTACGTTTTTTTTTTGCAAATCTAATATTTGTCATAATAACATTATTTTAGTCTATCAAAAGCATAAAATATTTTCAGAGGTAACTCGGAAGGCTCGATCGAATCATGAATAACCAATACATCTTAATAATTATTCTTGCTCGTAATAGAAGAAATTGGTCGCTAGGAATATATAATTATTATTCTCAATATCATGAAAACTTCTTGATTATAATAGTATATTAATTGATAAAGTTCATTTCACTAGTAATTATTCTTTGTTTTTTTTTTAAGTCTTTTAACTAGTAAAATATCTTCCATTGAATAATTATCTTACTCGAATAATATTTAATAATATTATTATTAACAATAATTTCGTTCAGGGTGTGGGTGTGGGTGTGGGTGTGGGTGTGGGTGGGTGTGTGGGTG